CGAAAGCAGGAGCCGTTATGTCGAGAGATACAACATGAGAATTTACGTAAAGGGCGAGGGGGGTCGTTGTTTGGCGTGTCGCCTCCTATCAAATGCGACGTAATTAAGGAAACCTATCGAGAAATATTACATGAGAATTTACACAAATGGGGTGTTGTCTCTATCAAATGTTCCGTTTTGTTGTACACCTCCTCAGTCTATAACACTGTGTTTTTCCATTGGTTTTAAAAATTATGTGAGAATCACGTGATGATCAGAGGTAGACGCCTACTAAATACGTTCCAGGATATTTTCGATCGCAGCAGTTTGTAAACTAAGGAATCCCATATTTTTTTTATGGATTCCTAGCTAATCCATAAAAAAATTTAAGACAATTTTATGTTGTCATAGAATCTTTTTTTTTTTCTATGTTTGTTTCATAACATGAAAAAATAGAATCTAACTTTATAGAAACCATACAACTCCTATTCTTTAGTTTGGTTTGGAATGAGAATAGGATTTGGTCTCATAATAATATAGGGTTTGTAAATAAACGGAATCCGAAAAAAAAAAGAGAGGAAGAATAGTACAAATGCGTCAGCTTTCTATCCCAAATCCGCCCACATCATTAGGATTTTGGTTTCTATAAAATCAACATACTTTTCCAACTTTATAGATTCCGAAACCTATAAATTTTTGGGGAACCAAACTTCAAGAATATGATTCATAAAAAAATCTTTTATTTACAATTTTGCCATTGTCAGACTCAAATCCTATTCCTTTTCCATAAAAATGGTGAAACAAACAGCCGAAAACAACACCTTCGTGGGGCCAGCCGGCGTGCATGCTAATAAAACAAAACATGGCCGCTAGATAGCCCATAATTGACAAATCATAAAAAATATATATATATTCCATCCTCAGGGTGGGAAAAAGACACGAAGGTATATATGAAATTGAATAGAAACATGAGCGCAGACGTGGACGGATGCAATTTGGAAAAAAAAAAGAAGAAGAAAAAAAAACATGAGGATACGATTGAGTCCACGCCCGGGAGAGGAGGAGATGAGGATGACGACGAGCTAATAATAGCGTCGTGCTCTCCTCGTTCAACGTTTGAGGCCGAAACCGAGTGCGTCCCCATCGATCGGCGCTTTATTCCAACCCGTCCACGTCCAAAACCCCTCGCGCTTATCTTAAAATCGCGAACCTAAATATATCCACATTGATCTCATTATATCTTCCTCTTCAACTCGTTTCGAGTTGAATTCGATAGAATTGAGAGGAGGTCAGGTGCGAATTTAACAACAGCAGACGTCGTCTTCTCTTCATGGAAATCACGGAGAAGATGAGCAAGGCCAAGGATTTGGAAGGGTTGTCGACCTTCAACATGCGCTCTCTCTCGGTTCATCTCCCTCAAAAGTAAGGAACGTAAAGCCTGCTTAATATATACGTGCATGCTTATATTTTAGGAAATAGTTTTAGGGTCGTCTGCAGAAATGCTCGCATGCAAATTTTCCTGAGTAGAGAGGAATTGGCCTTCACATTTTGTCTGTGAAACAATATATATGCTGTGATGTGGAAAATTATCAATAGCCCTCGCCGTGTTTCTGGACTAATTGCTTATGCTACTCTTCGGAATAAAAAAAAAACTATAATCCCCGACTCCCACCATTTAGCTACAAAGTTTCGATGCGGCGGGTAGGACGTTTTAGGATGATATCAGAGCATTCAAAGTTTTGGAGAATAGGTCTTTATCCGAAACCACGAACAATGAAACATCAAAAGAGAGATGATCCCGAGGACTGAGAAAACATACTAACGCCTCTTGTTCTTCACAGGAGGAAAGGATTGTCGAAATATTTCTCTGGCAAGGCGCGGTCTTTTGCCACGCTAAGCGATGCAAAGTGCATAGATGATCTTCAGAAGGCAGAGCTTCCGGAGGCGAAGAGGAGAAAATACTCAAATCAACCAGAGAGGAAGGAATCAAGTAGCGGTTCCTGCTGCAGGTCCCCTCCTGGGGTGTAGATTAAAGTGTACAGTTCTTCTGTGTTATCACAATTTTGTATAGAATGAGAAAGAAAACGTCGTTTAAATATCACTTCAATGATAACTCAAGAGTTTTTCTTTATCCTTGCCAGATTAAAAGATTGTATTTGTAACATTTGTATTTGACAGGGAAGAGCAAAGTTAACAAGAAAAGTAATTATCATTTATTCAAGTACAGGAAAGTAATCGTCATTTATTCTTGCTTACATGCCAACTAATGTTAGTTTCCTTGTTTCTCCTAATAGTTCCAAGGAAAGCAGTAAACGTTCAAGAGAAACGCTATGCAAATTGCTTAAATGATCATTTAAAACATATAACACCTAAAAATAATAATTAAACAAATAACGAATAAATAAATAACATAGAAATTTGCTTCTGAAACTCAAATCACCTAACCACCACAAATGATGAGAAGGATAAAAGTCTGCAATGTATCCATTGAAACTCCCGAGCTCGGATCGTAAATATTAGGAAACTAGGCGAAGACAAAAAAAACCAACAGATATAACCAAAATATTACAGTATAAACGTGTTCGACAACAAAGACAAGTACCTGTTTAATCAGAAACACATCTACAAGAGAGTTTGTCGAACCGATCATAGCAAAAATATAATACCTTAGCAACTTTAGGTTCTACCCTAGCACCTAAGTTTGATCACAAGCAACTTCAGATACTACCCGAGCAAACCTAGCAAAATTTTCAAACTTCACAATATTAAGTAGCAACAATAACCAGTTAAGTAAAACCCGAGGTCCAATGGAAGTGACAAGGACCAACGGTAGTAATACTAGGTCCATAGCAGTTTTAAGATTACTCGTGGTGCCTCTTTTCATCAATATTTTTCAAACTGGCTATCTGTGAAACCGGACTCTTCAGAAAATGCAGTATAGGAAGCAAACTGACCAGCAAATGTTTACGACTAACAACCAAAAGTGGCATTCTTCAAAATGTAAAGGGTACTGTTTACAGGCAACCTTGATGTCAAACATGTCATTGGCACATAACTCGCCAAATGTCTGTTCACAAGTGCAGAAAGCATACGGTAGATCAACCAGAATTTAGGATAATAAACATCATGGTCAGTTAAATAAAGATACAAGCCAACAGTAGCAGAGGCAACCACATTTTCCATCTATATGAAATTGTCCATCTCAAGCACAAAGAAAAATCAACCAATTCATGAAAACACACAGATTCCAAACCTATGATAGAACGGGTTGATAATCATCAATATCTTCTCCTTGGAGGACTCCTTGAACGGTGAGCACGTGGTGATCTATTGAAGGAAGAACGTAGAAAGACCACAAGAAAGGGTAATGAATTAGGTTTATCAAAAACAACAAGGCCATTGCAACTGTCATGCATCAAAATTATCAATACACTGGAGTGACTGGATAGAAAGATCGTATAAATATCAAAATGAAAATGTATATATCAAGGTGAAAAATGTGGTAATCATATTAAGAACATGGTTTTAAATATCGGCCGATAATCCGATATTATCGCCGAGTTATCGGATTTGGGAGCTTTCCGCTAAATATCGGCCGATAATCCGATATTATCGCCGAGTTATCGGATTTGGGAGCTTTCCGCTAGGATAAGTAGGATTTTTCGGATTTGGGAGCTTTCCGCTAGGATAAGTAGGATTTTTAATCGGTTATCGTTTTTTGAGGTTTATCGGTGAGTTATCGGCGATAAAAGCACTTATCGACCGATTAGTAGGCTCTAAATATTGGTTTTATCGGCCGATAAGTAGGATTTGGGAGCTTTTACTTTCTTTTTGATTTGCTCTTTGAATGTTTACAAATTATGAACTATTTGTTGCTTTTGGAACTTGGTTGATTGGTGATTAGCTTATGTTTGTTTATGGATATTGATAATGGCTCATAACTACTAAATATCAACTTAGTAAGTTAGTTTATGAATCTCATGATTAAACAATAATTATGTAGATGCGTAGATGGTTCTTCATTCTTGATGTTATCTTATTATTTGCTTGTTTATTATTCTATTTTATTTTTTCAAGCTTATGTTTGTTTATTATTTGCTAGTATATTACTCCGATAAATACTACTTATCCCCGATATATCCCCGATTTTCGCTATCCGATAGGATTTTGATCTTCCGATAAATCCCCAATAACCAACATTTAAAACCTTGATTAAGAATAAGAAAATGGAACACAAAAAACAAAGCAGTACATGAGTAGTATATGTCCTAAATTTCAGTTCAGCAAGAAGCAAAGAAGCATGATTATTTACAAACTTGATTTTGAACAACAGTAGAAATTACAAAACCTAACTTGATCACATCTTTGAGTAGAATGGTCTTCCGTTAGACCTATACATGTGTATGTACAATTGTACATGCATGTTAATGTAATGAAACGTGCATATACACAAGTTCAAAAGTTCGTTTTTCTAATATTCTACGGTTCTATTGTGGATTTCTAACCATAACTAAAGGTCCTGGTAAGAATTGGCATTCAAAAGGTGTGAATACTTAATTAAGGATAGCATTTCATTAACAAACTGCATTAACATATATCAAAATTTCAAATCATGCAAAGCACATGGATCAAAATAGTAGCTCTGTATATAAAAAAAAAAGCATACTGTTAAAACAATTAGTTTAACAATTGTATGCATCAAAAGGAAGGACTAGAAAAACCCAAGTCTTACAGAGTGAATGTGAAATAACATTGTTAAGGTCATAGGTAGAAGTTAAATACATAGCAGCACTCATGCACGGAAAGGGAGACCAAGCTTATATATAGAGTATAATTTATACATTTATGGGAAGATATATTTTTCACAAGACTAGACAGGCAAAATTTATACTGACAAAGATTTTATACTTAAAAGAAAAGAATGATACTCTTTACACTTATGAGTGTACATGAAATATATATTATCTACTTTAGGGTGTTAACATCTTTCTCATGCCCAAAACAGTACAATCTATCCAGGATCTATATTATGATGTTGGAAGTCAAAGACAGGACGCAAGTGTTAGGGCAATAAGCTGGTAGCAAGTATTTGGCTTGAAAGTAGCATAAGTGTGTGGTGTGAATATTTTTTTAATGAAATTTATATAAGGATAAAATAGCTACTCGGTTGAACAAATATTTAAGCATATGTGATGCTTTCCATTTTGAGAAACTACATATTTTTGCATTTCTTATCCGTATCTGTTTTACATAAGTTTGTAATGGAATAGATTGCAAATATAAGTTTCCATCAGAAAATAGTCAATGGAAACTAATGTAGTGATTGAAAAATACACTTTGTCCAAATCCAGAATAGAAAGTAAGGTTAAGAGGAAGAGAGAAGGAAAGAGCTAGAGTAATCTAGTGAGTGATTATTAGGTTGCAAGGGTAGTTTTGTGATACTTTTAGTAAATGCTTACAAAACAAGTTACTTTTTGAAAAAGAGATTGATATGGTAAGACTAGCTCATGGTTGGTGTTATTCTACGCCTGATGTGACCATTATGTCTAGATGTGACTTCACTATCTCATCTTTTAAAAGTACTATAGTAAATGCTTATGAAAAAAAAATTTGCTTTTTAGAAAGGAGATTGATATAGTAGGACTAGGCCATTGTTGGTATTGTTCTTACGCCTGATGTCACCATTAAGTCTAGATGTGATTTCGCCATCTCTTAAAGTACTTTACAGTTCATAACACCTACACCTTTTTTTCTAGTTATCAAATAAGTCTAAGATATAATGTGTTCTATAAAGTATAAGTAATTAGTAAATATAGCTCAATGTCTCAATCACTCGAAATTGGATCACTTCTGTGATGTTAGTTGTTAATTGGGGGAAAAAAGAAATGATTTTAGAAAATAGCAAGCAACAGGGCCATGCATGAAAATATGTCAACAAAACAACATGAATTATTGTCATTCCTATAAAATGAAAGTCAATATATGCTAAAAACTGTAACTATGTATTATTACTTTCCCCGTCCCCTAAAACCTATTCGGCAGACTGCATTCTGCAAATGCAGAAGAAAACAGAGGCAACATCAAATTTTACAGGACATGTATATTCTTTCTTTTCGTGTCCTATTAAAGTTATAAAATTGATATAGAGATGTGGGCTTGAGTTGGAAGAAGATGGGTGTGATCTGGAAAAAGTAAGGTGAGTAAGAGTTCCCCATTTTCTGATTATTTTCTCTTTGAGATGGTCTAACTTACCACATGCCACCTGATTTTGAGTCTGAACAGAAACACCAACTGCAAGCCCACTGTAGTCAGATTTCTTCAATAATAATACAGATTAATGTTTTATTGTTTTATAGTACTATTCATGGTTGAAGAATTTCCTTTGATCAAATCCTTTCATTGGTTAATCATTAAGGGGAAAAAACATTTAATTGTATATATTCTGTTAGTTAAGCGAGAAAGCTGTGAAGGATGCATTGACCAACATGTCTGAGTTGGTTTTTTTTTTTTTTTTTTTTTTTTTGCTAGCA